TACCAGAAACCGAAACCAAGGTAAGTATATCTACTGAATCTCATGTTTCCGATTCATCTAGTTCGAAGCTATCTCAAAAAAAAATCCTGAAATTGGTCACAAAGTATCCAGTTCTGTAGAGGTAGAAGCATCATCCAATCCAATTCATGACCATGCTTACTTTCGCAATAAGATATTGTTGCGATATTCTGATCTATATAAAACATTTATTACTGAAAAATTTGATTACTATGATATTATCGAGGGATCATTATGCCCAGTATGTAAATTATATCATGAAGATGGGAAAAGTGTAAAAGGTAGATACGAAGCTGGATCTTATTTTATTATATGTGGAAAGTGCGAAATTGAGATAACGGCATAAATAATAAAGACATACTACCTTCGAAATTCTCTGGTTTCAAATGATCGTAAATCAATTAATTATATTTATTTTTTTAATTGTTATTTTGGAATATGCACAGAGTGACAGCACGTAAGTATCCTTGTTATATAAGTGCGACAAAGGCGCAGCTCATACTTAATTTGAATTTGCGATTATATAAAGTAATAATATGGATAAAATCTATTTCGGAGAAATGACACGAAGTGCCTTAACCCCTGAATATTTGAACTGGCATGCTAAATTGGTTGATTCACCAAGTCATTTGACAAATAAAATTCGTTTGAGCTTATATAGAGAATATACGGAAGAGACTGGTCTCGATCCTTGGATAGATTCCAAACCCTCTGAATCTTTTGAGAAAAAGACTTTATTTGTACCGCAGGTAAATGTTCAATCTACACTATCAAAATGACAATTCCCAATTTCTGTTCTACCTAAAGACCCGGAAGAAAAGCAACAACAGGTTATTAATATAGTGTTAGAGTGATTTCCTTATTTGACTCTGAAACATAGTTTTAAAAATAATTACTTTGATTTTAATAGATCAGTAACCTGCCCTTTATGTAATAAAAACCATAAAAAAGAAAATATAAAATATAATGTAGAAGGTATATGGGGTAGTGGCGAATTTTGCGATGAAAAAGCTTATCATCTTTATTGCTATACAAATAAATATCAGAAGTCAATCCACATAGTTAGTATAAAAGCATAAGTTAACTTGACTTCGACAATGCATATATAACAATAAATCATTTTTCGCGATTGCATGGGGGCTCTATGTCACATGCATAAATCTCAACCAACGATCGGATTCACAAAACTGTGACAATTGACAAAAAAAACTTTACTAGAGTTAAGTGATGATCCCACCTTCTTGTGGTCAAGCTTACTCAAAGTCAGAAAAGTCAGATAACATGTACATCTTTTCTCCGAGAGGCAATGACGAAAAATCGGATTATCTGATCAGCGCATATTTTTTTCTGAAAAAATTATTATTGCCAACCATAAATTAACTTATTTTTTGCGTATATAAATGTCTAAAAAATTAAGATCAGGTGCTACACACTTATCAGCTGAAGCAATTAGCGATATAATTATGGCTAAAGGTACAGCAAATGCATTATCGATATTAGCTATAAAATATAATATATCATATGCCCGAATTCGTGGAATATGGAATTCGCTATTGTGATAAATAATTAGTAAAGCTAGCTGATATATACATAACAAAAATCAGTTAAATCATTTCCCGCGATCACATGCATAACCATTTATATACATTGCCTACATTTCACAAATTTGATATCATTAGCATTTATAGTGAAGCTAGTGACAAGACACATAAAAAATATATCCCAAATTCGGGTGAACTTTATTTAATATTGCATAGATTGTGATATGATATCACAATGTCACGTGATCACACATAGTCTTACGAAAGTGAAAACTTGGCCAAAACATAATCTATATCATCCTGAGAAATACTAGATAAGGTTACTGCCGTAAAGGTCTGAATCCATTTGATTTTATCAACCCCAATCTCATTAAAAATATCGTAAATCTTCTGGGCCCTTTCTTTTGTTTTTCGAAGTAAACTTTCACTAACTGATTTGAGAATCTGAGCTCTAACATCATTATTAACTAACCCTTGAGCCGTACGTTTAGGATTGTTTTTTCTATAGTGATCGAATCGCTCCTCGATTGCTTTTCCAAAATAGAAATAGTGACGAATGACTTCTTGTGTCATTTTTTTACTAATTTTTTCAGCATTGATTATATTTTGGTACAAAGCTAGAAAATTGTCCGAGTTCTCATTCGATTCAAATATTGGTTCAGTTGACAAAGTTTTCTCTGGAACGTCGGTTCTCAATTCTTTGATTAGTCTTTGTAACGTAGGAGAATCTTCCTTTTCACCCTGCTTCTTCACTTTCTTGCTGGATAATTTGCTAATAGATTCACTAACACGCTTTTTAGACGGACTTGGAAAGAGGAGGTCAGTAAATAATGACGGGAATATAACCATCAAATCGTTGGTATTCTGACTTCCAGGAGTATCATCAACCATAGACTCCACTTCTTTCTTGCAATCAGGCTTTGGACATATTGAACATTTTTTGATAGATTTTTCGATGCAATCGCGATGATATGAGTAGCCACAGGTGAGTATGGTAATTGGTTTTTTTATTTCAAACAAAAAAAGCTCTCAATTGCATAACGAGCATGCATCCAGTTCGGGAGTATCACCTTCATCTATAATTTTTTCAGGAAACGAATTTTTAATAATATTTAGGGCGAAAGTTTTGAGACATGAAATATTGGTAAATATAACTCACATAAGTTTCTGAAAACACCCACCTTTTCTCAGCTATATTCCCACTCATAGTTACTCGAAAAAATACCCCAACTCGAAATAGCATTACGTCCGAAAGTTCATTATAACGGAAACAATATATAGGAAAGTTGAATTTAGGATCAGCGAAAAACATGAAAAAAATATCCAATAGGTGTATATGTGAAAAATTGAGTCATACAAAAAATATGTGGATCTAAACTGCTAAGTGCTTATTCATCTGCATCCACGTTATCTTAAATATATGCAATAAAAAATTGGATTATCGTGATCGCGGTTTATTATATGATTAATTTATGTGTCGAGGCTACTTTACGTACCTTTGTACAATTATATACCTTGTTCTTATTTCGCTTCTTTTTAAGTTTAGAATGGATAGAGCTGAGGTCTTTAGACTTATGTTTCTTTTTTACTGTAACAACCTCAGGTAAAATATCAGAACAATTTGAGGAAGCAAAGCTTCGAGATTCCATCTCATCTGATGTATCACTATTATCGGTCTCAAATTCTGATAATTCACGTTTACATTTTACCTTTCTATCTCTTAGCTCAGACTCGACTGCTTTTAATCTCAAATAAATAAGATTTATATGTAATCCTATTTCATCGATCATAATGGAATCTTTGAGATATTTAAACTCATTTTTCACTTTTCGTTCTGCATGATCATTAAAATTTTCTATCATTTTGATTGGTACTGTGAAATAACTCTGCTAATATATATATACAAAAAAATATATCCAGCTAAAAAAAATCTGATATTAATGCAGTTGAAACGAAATTAGTATTTTTTAATTAAGCTTATTTAAATTTTGATAATATCGATCTTTGGTTTGCTTCATAATTGATCCATCGGATCAATAGAGCCATTTAATTACTGAACGTTAAATTATTTTAACTGAATTTATTTGTTTTCGATATCATGAACGAAATGCTCGCTGAATAGTCAACACTGCTTGTTTTTTAAAATATCGATAACAATATTGTTGGTGTCTTAAATGGGTAACAACTGATCCTTTATATCAATGATGGCATTTAGCACATCGTCCATAAGAAATTTATAGAGAGATATATTTTTTTAACACATTATTAGGCATATAAATATATGAAGGAATAGTATACAATTGATCAAGGAACTTTGGCTATAGTTTGTCATTATACTATTATATCAAACATGTAGAATTTTTAACTTAGACTTTTTATTTAATAGATAATCAATGGAGCTAACCGAAAAAATTAAATATGGCAGATGGGTAGGCCGACTTGCTTTTCTACATTAGATAAATAAAATTCATTAAACGAAAAATTATCGTGTGGTATCACTTTATATAACTCAATAATTAATTATGTATCTGTCTCTGGAGCTTCATATAATTTTAGTCATCAACTTACACTAATTTACTCAATTCTGATCTAAAAATATTCTTTGCAATTCGTTCCATTTCACCCTGTTTTTGCATCCTCTTTACTTCGATGGGATCAGGCTTGACGATATCAGGTTTCTTGGGTATATCTATTTGAGGCGTTGGTTCGGGTGATGTATTCACCTTCTCAAATTTACTATTATTGATGTACCAGTTAGGTAAGTTCGCGTCTTCGATTGAATTTGCATA